TTTTTTCTATGTTTTTATAGAATTAATTTTCTTTCTTTTTTAATCTATGAATAAAATATTTTCCGTAGTTACTTTTTTTTATCTATAACAGAAAAAACACGATTAATATTTTTAACAATGAAATATATAAAGCGAACGAGATTATCCTTTTTTTTTTATTTAACATATATGAAAAATTAGGTAATTAACATAATAACTTAATAAAAAGAAAAAAAAGAAAAGAAATAATATAGACAACAATCTAATGTAAGAAATAAATAATTATTTTGATTCTTTCGAATAAATATCAACATTGTTCAACCTAAAATAAAAACAAAAAAAGAAAATATATAATCAAAATATTTGAAATATATTTATATTTGATCACTTGTATCAATTTGTTTGACTGGACGTTGTGCACGTCGACATGGATAACGACTTTGTTTTTTTGTTCGTGCTCTTATGGATTGTGATTCACAACTTGTATCTTGAGAATCTGTTGCTAAAATAAAAAAATATATATGATGAAAAAATATTTCAAATCATAATTAACATACTAGATATATTACTATCCGATGTTGCACTAGTTGATGGTGGAATTAATAATTGTGCTGAATCTTTTTCAATTAATATACCTTGATCATTTGATGGACTAGCTTCTGTAAGAGTCACTATTGGTAAATGATTTTTACCTAATTAAGTTAGTATAAGAAAAGAAAAGAAAAGAAAAGAAATTTGAAAAATTTACTTGTTTTTTTTGATTTTAATGTTTTTCTTTTTAAGATTAAAGATGGATCATTGATGTCATTCTGAAATAAATAACATACAGAGTATTTCAAAAGTCTGTCGGAATAAAAAAAAAAAGTGAATAGCTCTCGAACAGTTCAAACGATTTGCATGAACTTTCTATGATTTCGCTCGATTTTCCTTTAAATTTTATTCAACATAGTTCAGGTCAAATGTCAATGTCTATAAATATTAGCATCGAAACATAAACAAAGATAGTATTAATGCGATCTCTAAAAGCCTTTATAAAACTGATACTTGAATAAACGAGTCATATTCTGAACGTTTTACAGTGACGACAGAAGAAAAAGTCGACGTAGGTTATGTTAATAGTGAAAGTATATCGATAGGAACTATTCTGGTTGTTTGAAATGTTTTATGAAACACGATCTACAAGGAATGTTGAAGTAGAGAGGAAAAAATGTGGACCTTCTACACAGACGTTGTTCATATACAATCAGAGACCGTATATCAATGACGTTTCGTTATAATCTGTAATGTACTTCGTTATTGCATTTCTGAAAGATTAAATAAAAGAATGCTGAAGCAATGCATCCGAAAATAGCTAGAAAAAAAATCATCTCCCTTTCATTAGTAAGAGCAGCTACATCGCGTTTCATATTTTAATTCTGCAGGAATTGTGCTAACAGCTTTTTTTTCAATAGCATTCAGAATTATGGCAGAACTCATTAAGTGGTTCAACAAAATGAGGTATCTTCGCATTTCGATCTGCAAGATACTATATTAAAGATCAAGTTGAATTAACAATCGGCATCAGTGAGAAAAATACAATGATTTCAATGGAAATTCTATCTAATGTGTCATTTTTTCAAAAATTTTAAAACACTGGACTTTCGAGGTTCATTTCATCGTGTACATTTCGAATAGCTAGTGCAAATAAACTCATACGAAACAAAATTTTAAATAAAATAAAATCAAATAATACAAAGCACACATGAATGGCTTGAAGTCTTCAAAGGTTGTTCACACTTTTTTTTCTCGACGGACTTTTAGAACATTCTGTATTTCTTTTTTAAACAAATACCTCTTTATTTTTTGATAATTTTGTCACTATTTTATTTCGTTTATCACTACAATTACTTATTGTACTAGCCGATGATTCTGTTCGATCTCGAGTCTTTCTTTTTGATCGTTTAACCTCGAATTGTTCATCCTAAATATTATTTAAGAAAAGAAAACTTTTAAAAATAAATAAAATAATTTTTTACAATATCATCATTTATTGTACGTTTTCTTGACCATTCATTTTCATTCGTATCTTTTGTTGGTATTAAAGATATATCATTATTATTTGCTTTATGCATAGCAAGCATTTCAATTTGTAATGAATCATATCTTGTATGAATTGATTTTAATTCTTGTTTTAATTGTATTAAATCTTGTTGTATTTTTTTATTTAAATTTTGTTCAATTTTTATTTTATCTTCATAAAAACGTACTTTTCTTTCAGCTTCTTGTTTACGATATTCTTCTAAGACAAGATCACGTTTTATACGTTCAATTTCATCAATTAATGATTGAATTCGTTCATTATATTCATCTTCATGTTGATGATTTTCATCCATTTTTTTACTATATTCAATAGTAAATCGTTGAAATTTTTGTTCGATTAATTGTAATTGTACACGTAAAACTTCATTATGACGAATAAGATCATCATGATCATGAAGTTTTTCTTCAAGAATTTTTATATTTTCATCTTTTGTACGTACTTCATTGTGTAAAGAATCGACTAATTGAGATATCTTAATAAAACAAAAAAATTAAAAATAATGCATAGTATGAAGAACTAAGCATTATTTATAAAAATTTAAATTCATTTTGAATATTATTATATGTTAAATTTCAAACTTTCAAATATGTATGAAATACAAATATAGTGATAAGAATGTATTATATATATATAGCTAATTGTTAATATGATAAACTGAAAGATTCGAATTCATGATACAGAATATTTTAAGAAATGTACGACAATTAAGTTTCAAACGAATTTATACCACTATATGATGGATTTTTGATTTAGGGAAAAAATATTTTATTGATGTCTTACCGAATGATTTTCTGCAGTTAATGTATCGATTTGTTCACGTTGACTAAGTAAATATTGTATACTATCGATACGTTCTTGACTAAAAAAATTTTTTTTTTTGAGTTAAAATAAAAATGAAATTTAATTCGATTTACTGTCTTTCAATTAAGAGTTTTCGTCGATTGGATGCTTGTTTTTCAAGAATATCCAATGCTTTCTTCGTACAACACTTCCAATAATGGATCTTTAAAAATCAAAACTCTAAATTTCCGTGTTTTTTTTTACAAACAAATCTAAAATCAAATCCTACTGATGTTTCATCCATTGATACAACTACTGGATTATTATCTGTCTTGGAAGGTGAAGTGTTTAACAACAGAGAAGCACTTTCTTGAACTGTATTTTGTTTTGTTAGTGATATATGATCTGAATAAATAGAAAAAAAAACCATACGTTTCACATTTTATCGCTAAGGTTTAGCCAATGTAGAGCGACTATTACCTGTCTTTGGAACACCGTTTGTTGTATTCTCTTCAATTTTAATATTATTTTGTTTATTTTTACGTAATCGTTTTGGTATTTTAGTTTTTAATTTATGTTTACTATTTGATTCACTTTTACGTAAAGATTCTGTTGGCATAATTATCGACTAGAAAGTCTTAGCAAAATTTAATAGTAAAAAGAAAAAATTTGTATGAAAATCTTTACTTTTTGTGCGAGAGTACTAAATGAAATATAAATCGTTTGTTTGAACAATAAATCGAACAGATAAACTATTATATCACATTAGAGAATTGTACGTTTACAACCAATAAAAAATGTTCGACAAATACCCATGTCAGTACGTACAGATTATCTCGAACGAAACATGGTACAGATAAGTGCATCGATGATGCACTTTAATCATGCCATACTTTATTGGTTCATTCTATTGCGCACTAGTAATATAAACCAATCATGTAATAGCGGTAACAACTACATTGTATAGTAAAATTTATTTGTTTATTGTACTTAGATAATACAAATGATAAAAAAAAAGATAATGAGAAAATAACACAAGTAGAAACAAATGTTTTGAAAAAAAAAATAAACGAATGACAATACTAATTCAAGACAAATGATTGATGACATGGTACCGTTCAAAGGAAAGATAAAAAGAAGATAACTTGGTGTCAGAAACTGTTTCATATTTAAAAAAAAGTACAAGTTTCATTTCCTTAATAGAATAGAAGAATTATTTCAATCAATATCAATCTTGCTAGACGTATCATGAATAGACTTTGATGATACGGCTCCTTGTTAGAGGTGTAAGCCAGAGACAGAAACGAGACAGAGTTTTAGCATCTCCCCTCACTCCACCCAGAAGAAAAGTTTCTCCGCCTCGTCTCGACCTTAATTTTTTCGTCTCTTCTTCGCCTACCTTGATAGTTTTTTTTTCACTACTTCATTAAGTATTTATGAGATATTTTTTCCTTTGAGCATATCATTTGTTTGATTTCATATTGGAAAAATAAGACACAACAATAGAATAGTAAAAAAAAAAAGGAATATAACTGGTCATTAATAAACCATTTTATTATTCTTTATAGAACGGAGAAATAAAATATTATTAACAGTTATGGAATGTAAATTAGTTCATCTTTAGTAGATAAATTTCCCTGATACTAAAAACTTTCTGTCGACAACAGTTGAATTGTGTAGTATTAGGTATATGTGACATACCAATTTAGAAAAATCTGGCAAAAAAGGTTTTCCGTATTGATATCAAAATAAGTATGAATTTGAACAGTCTTTGTCTAATTTAAAATCGATATAAATATCAATTTTATCTTTCATTATTGATATTGACTGTCTTTTTGTCGCTTCGTCATCAATTAATTGTTCAAGAAACTTTTTCTTTGTTGGATCATTTTCAATATCAACTGTTGCGGTCGAAATCACTTTCGACAGACATACACTGCAAGCACGATAATATTTTGCTTTTTGAGCTGTTGTTAGTAGTAGTAGTCATGCTAGTTTTAGATGAAGAAATAAACAGTAATAAAGTATGTGATAAAGGACATAGCAGATTTTTGATAGATTGTTTGTGTCAAGCTGAACTCA